TTTAATCTTAATTTTTTGATTAAAAAATATTTGTTTCATGACTATCATTGAGATTAGTTCTCCGTCAATTTTTGTACGTTTCTTGAATCACATGAATCGTTGCAAGAAACCATCACACAGAATAAAATAGACGAAAGGGCCACTGAGAAAAAGAGAAGGAGGACGAAGAGTTCATTTCAAACAAGGACGTATATGAGCATGTATTTGTGCATGTTTCTTTTATTTTTTTATTTTAAATTTGGTGATATGAATTGGGTATTGATTATTGTAGCAATAGATAAGAAGAACAATGTTATTGTGAATGGTGTTAATTTGAGTGTTTGTTTTGCAATTTGATTGCTTTGATTGTTAGTGTGTCTAAAAGAAAACAGATTGTGGTATTCATGGACTTGATTAGTGTGTCTCCCTCTTTTTGTCTCTCATCCAAATTTGGCAAACATCCACAACATTCCCAACCCGCAGCCCCACCATTTACATCCACCACTCTTGCGTATCTAGTTGTTCAATGAAATTTCTCAAGGAACAACGCTTATGGTACTCCACCATTATCACTAGTAAGCCTCTCTCTTTTTCTCACTGTCGGCCAAACCACGCCACCTATCGAACACCCCACAGTCACCAATCAAACCCTTCATCAAAACTGTAGCTTTTCACATTAATTCTTCAGTTATGAGCTTTTTTTTTTTAGTATTTTTTGTTGGGGGGAGGGGGGCAGTTTTCTCTTTGTTCTTGCTCAATATGGAATCATAGAGTATCATTGGTTTTGTCACTAGGTAAGTTCCTTTCTTTACTCCACCCACTTTGTTTTTCCTTGGTTTTGCTTTTTTTTTTTTTTTTTAATATTTGGGTTACATCACATTGTAAACCATCAAGACCAAAAAAAAAAATTAGCCGGGTTGTTGATTGGGTTGTAACGGGTAGAATTAGTTTGGAATTTTTACAATTTTAGTTTTGATTTTATATTTTGAATTGGGTGGGTTTAAAGTGTGTTTTACAATCAAACTCTTACATTGAAAACAATAAGTTCTACACTTCTATATAAACAATGATAAATTGAAATATAAGTTAAAAACAACACCAATATGGTATTTTTTTCATTAAGATTCTATAAGTATATATCATATCTTTGCAAGATCCACTTTATACAAAAAATATATATATATATATATATTGTAGTATCTACAAATTAAATAAGAAATCTATTAGATATTTCTATAGAAACATGAAAAAATATAAAATAATCTAATCAATACATTCCAAAGAGAATATCTCAGAAGGATTTTAGAGGTAGGAAGGACTTATACATACCCCACTAGGGGTGCCAATCTGTTTAAGAAAAAATAAATAAAACACTTACTTGTTACTTAAAATATAAAGTTATTATGTGCTATAAAAAGTCATATCTATATAATAAAGTACAAAAGATTTCAAATCTCAAAAAAACATAAAAAAATAACTTTTAATTTTCGCAATTCAGATCTTTTTAAAAAAACTCTAAATTTGATCTGAATGCTATTATTAACTCTCTAAATTTTATATTATATACCCTCCCAAACTCTCTCTCTCATACTCTCGTATCATAACTCACCATCTCCTACTAATTTTCTCTTGCTTCAATTCTCGATTCAATCTCCAAGCTTTTTCATCTATCTCTCTCACTTGGACCAAAAACATCAAGCAGATCTCTGTTACAACACACGCACACACACGATGATGCAAGTTTGTTGGAGCGCCGTTGATGTAAGATTTGTGTGTGAATAAAAATTAATTAATATATTTTTCTTTTTTCTTTGAACTAATTTTTGTGGTTGGTTTTGGGTGTGAATGTAAATATGTCTACAATTACTAGTAAGTAGATAAAGCACTAAGATCATCTCTAATAGATTCTTTATTTTTACTCAATTTTATATTATAGAGAGAGAGAATTTTTATAATTTCTCTCTAATTGACTCTTTTTTTAGACTCTAAAAAATAAAGAGTCCAATTTGACTCGCTACATTTGGAGAATCAAACTCACTCTCTACTCTATTTTTTTAAAACAAAAAAAAAAAGAATCTATTTGTCTTTTCATCCAAGACATTTAAGATAAATTTATCTCCTTTAAAATAATGGAGAAAAAATAGGAGGGAAACCAAATTAATTGTTAAAAAGGACAAAACATAAAATGATAGAAATAGAAAGTTGTATTTGAGTGGTGTGTATAAATTTACAATTTTTTTATTAAAGATGTTCCATATTTTAGAAAAAGATGCTCTTTCTATTTTAGAGAGCATTGTTAAAGATGTTCTTTCTATTTTAGAGAGCATTGTTAAAGATGCTCTAATAAATTAAACGATAATTCATACTTTACCATTTCATATACCGGCATCCTTATGGAGTAGTTTTTTCCACTAAATTTAAACATGATGATAGCCAACATTGAGAACATGACTACTTAAATGATTCATATTTTATAGACAAAACTGAAGGCTCACACGCCACATTCTCACTCCTCAAGAATATAAATCCTTGAGTCCTTTAATACCATCTGAAGCCAGGTTTTTTGCTCACACCGGGTGGAATGGTTGGCATTAATTGAGCTATGCCCCAAAAGGTAACCAATTTCATGCAGAGCCATAGACTCTAAGTTAAATGATCCAGGAACCACGTCGTTAGACCACCTCTCATCGGCATCAAAGTGAAGCCTCCCATCAGTTGGTGCAAAAGGATGGGCCAAGATTCCACCTGGGCCTTCGAACGGGTCACCATCTCCATGGTTTCCACTGTAAAAAGCGATCTTCAAATCAACATTTTTGTAGTTTTCAATCTAGAAAAATTTGAAACTTGATACAGAAGCCCATTTGCTAAAAGCCCTACCAACCGGACCAAGGGAGGCCTAATGAGTCCCTGGGAGAAAGGCATAAGTGAGTTTAGTCTTAGAACGTGGCCATCTGGGTTTACCTGGAAAGAAACTATAGTGGGAGATTATTTGGAACAAGTTTGAGCCATAATGGTGTTTCATTTTATTGCCTGATCTCATTCTAGTGGTACCATTGATGATATCCGGTATGCTACACCGAGGCATCATCATCATTGACACGGTGTTATTATCTAATTCTCCCATAACCTCGAGATTATAATTGAGCTGGTAGGTTTTGATGGAAGGCTCTAAGATATCATCAAAAATATCACTTTTGACATAGGTTTGATTCAATTTAGAATGGGTTAAGCTTAGAAAACCAAAATTTTTGAGATAATTTTTGAGTTTATGGAGCCCATCTACCTTGTCATCATTACGAAAACCCTTCATTCGTTTGATAAACTCAAAGATTGAGGGTGTTTTTTCATTTGGCTCCGATAAATGTGCATGGGACTGGTGAAATAAAAGAATGAAGATAAGGTTTTGCATTGCAGGAGAAGAGAGAATTTGGGTGTCATGATGGGGTCAGAAGGAGAATTAATTGTTTAATAATGCATATGCTCCTATATTTTCATCGTTCTTATAATGTGGTGATGAGGAAATTTAGTATTGGTGTGAAAGTTAAAGCTTTCCAAAGAAAAAGAATGAAAAATGACAATTATTTTTTGATCCACACTTACAATTCTTTCTCTGTTTTAAGGGAAAAATCAATAAATACTTTTTAATGTGCTTGGATCAGCAACCTTAAACTTTCACTTGTTATATCCTTAATTATACGGGTTCCAAAAAAAATATCCTTTATTATATAAAATAATGTGGTCCTTGAAATCTCATTAGTGTCTAGGACCACATTGACTCAATGTTTGAACTTTTGGGATGAAATTAATGAAATTAAAATTTTAAGTATTGAATTGTGATGAGTGGCAAACCTCAAAGACTATTTGTGAAATTTACCCTATTTTGGAAATCATTTCTAGTAGTTTTGTGGGTAGATTATATCCACCTCCCTAGATGTTTGTCCAAATAATAACTAGATTCCTTCACCGTTCAATAATAACATTGAACACCCTGTCAGTAATGTCTCTTTCCTTTTTCTAATGAAAATACCAAAAAGAATATCATGCCCTTAATGTGAATAGATTCTCTACTGCAGTTAATATTTAAAAAAATTGTAACATAANACTCAAAGGCTGAGGGTGTTTTTTCATTTGGTTCTGATAGACGTGCACGGGACTGGTGAAGTAAAAGAATGAAGAGAAGAGTTATGCATGGTAGGAGGAGAGAGAATTTGGGGGCCATGATTGAGTTTGAAGGAGAATGAATTGTTTAATAATGCATATGCTCCTATATTTTCATTGTTTTTATAATGTGGTGATGAGGAAATTTAGTATTGGTGTGAAAATTAAAGCTTTCTAAAGAAAAATAATGACAAAGAACAATTATTTTTTGATCCACACTTACAATTCTTTCTCTATTTTGAGGGAAAAATCAATAAATATTTTTTAATGTGGTTGGATCAGTAGCCTTAAGCTTTTGTTTGTTATATCCTTAATTATACTAGTTCAAAAAAAATATACATAATTATATAAAACAATGCGGCCNATTCCAAGATTGATCTGAGTAGTGTTGTTTGCTCTTGCAGGTAGAATTGGGCTCTGTATTCTACAATTTCTTTCGGCGAGAAATCACAAGGTTTGCCTTTTTACTGTTAAATTGGCTGTCAATCCCAACANGGTCCTTGAACGCTCATTAGTGTCAAGGACCACATTGACTCAATGTTTGAACGTTTGGGATGAAATTAATGAAATTGAAACTTCAAGGACCAAAGTTTGATGAGTGACAAACTACTATTTGTGCAATTTACCCTATTTTGAAAATCTTTTCTTAGTTTTGTGGGTATATTATATCCACTTCCCTGTTTGTCCAAATAACAACTAAACCTCCTCACGTATCTCAATCAATAATAACATTGAGCACCCCTATCAGTAATGTCTTTCTCCTTTTTCTAATAGAAATACCAAAAAGACTATCATGCCCTTAATGTGAATATATTCTCTATTGTGGTTAATATTAAAAAAAATTGTAATATCTATATAATAAAGTAGAACAATTTTGAATTCAAGATACAAAGAGCGGCTTAAATCATTTGGAGAATAAAAAAAGCTTCATCCAACGGCCGACGCTATTCCAAACTGTCTCAAACTATTAACGTCTCAAATCAGTTCAATATGACCTACCACATTAGCTCTTGAAAATGAAATTTTTTGCCGATCAAAACTTTTAGTTTGTAAAACTAACATCCCTTAATTTAATTCCCCAACCCAATCAAATCCGGCAATTAAGTGATCTCTCACTCCTCAACTCTGTCTCTCTCTCCCTAAAATACAAGTTACATCTCTTATCATTATTTCCCTGATTTTGTTTCCGCTGTCAATGCATCACTTTCTATATTGAGACATGGACTATCTCTCACACTTTCATCTCATGATTCTCTTTCCAAACTGAGANTAATCAATACATTCCAAAGAGAATATCTCAGAAGGATTTTAGAGGTAGGAAGGACCTATACATACCCCACTAGGGGTGCCAATCTGTTTAAGAAAAAAAAAAATAAAACACTTACTTGTTACTTAAAATATAAGAGTTATTATGTGCTATAAAAAGTCATATCTATACAATAAAGTACAAAAGATTTCAAATCTCAAAAAAATATAAAAAAATAACTTTTAATTTTCGCAATTCAGATCTTTTTAAAAAACTTTAAATTTGATCTGAATGCTATTATTAACTCTCTAAATTTTATATTATATACCCTCCCAAACTCCCTCTCTCATACTCTCGAATCATAACTCACCATCTCCTACTAATTTTCTCTTGCTTCAATTCTCGATTCAGTCTCCAAGCTTTTTCATCTATCTCTCTCACTTGGACCAAAAACATCAAGCAAATCTCTATTACAACACACGCACACACACGATGATGCAAGTTTGTTGGAGCGTCGTTGATGTAAGATTTGTGTGTGAATAAAAATTAATTAATATATTTTTCTTTTTTCNTAATCAATACATTCCAAAGAGAATATCTCAGAAGGATTTTAGAGGTAGGAAGGACTTATACATACCCCACTAGGGGTGCCAATCTGTTTAAGAAAAAATAAATAAAACACTTACTTGTTACTTAAAATATAAAGTTATTATGTGCTATAAAAAGTCATATCTATATAATAAAGTACAAAAGATTTCAAATCTCAAAAAAACATAAAAAAATAACTTTTAATTTTCGCAATTCAGATCTTTTTAAAAAAACTCTAAATTTGATCTGAATGCTATTATTAACTCTCTAAATTTTATATTATATACCCTCCCAAACTCTCTCTCTCATACTCTCGTATCATAACTCACCATCTCCTACTAATTTTCTCTTGCTTCAATTCTCGATTCAATCTCCAAGCTTTTTCATCTATCTCTCTCACTTGGACCAAAAACATCAAGCAGATCTCTGTTACAACACACGCACACACACGATGATGCAAGTTTGTTGGAGCGCCGTTGATGTAAGATTTGTGTGTGAATAAAAATTAATTAATATATTTTTCTTTTTTCTTTGAACTAATTTTTGTGGTTGGTTTTGGGTGTGAATGTAAATATGTCTACAATTACTAGTAAGTAGATAAAGCACTAAGATCATCTCTAATAGATTCTTTATTTTTACTCAATTTTATATTATAGAGAGAGAGAATTTTTATAATTTCTCTCTAATTGACTCTTTTTTTAGACTCTAAAAAATAAAGAGTCCAATTTGACTCGCTACATTTGGAGAATCAAACTCACTCTCTACTCTATTTTTTTAAAACAAAAAAAAAATGAATCTATTTGTCTTTTCATCCAAGACATTTAAGATAAATTTATCTCCTTTAAAATAATGGAGAAAAAATAGGAGGGAAACCAAATTAATTGTAAAAAAGGACAAAACATAAAATGATAGAAATAGAAAGTTGTATTTGAGTGGTGTGTATAAATTTACAATTTTTTTATTAAAGATGTTCCATATTTTAGAAAAAGATGCTCTTTCTATTTTAGAGAGCATTGTTAAAGATGCTTTTTCTATTTTAGAGAGCATTGTTAAAGATGCTCTAATAAATTAAACGATAATTCATACTTTACCATTTCATATACCGGCATCCTTATGGAGTAGTTTTTTCCACTAAATTTAAACATGATGATAGCCAACATTGAGAACATGACTACTTAAATGATTCATATTNCTTTACCATTTCATATACCGGCATCCTTATGGAGTAGTTTTTTCCACTAAATTTAAACATGATGATAGCCAACATTGAGAACATGACTACTTAAATGATTCATATTTTATAGACAAAACTGAAGGCTCACACGCCACATTCTCACTCCTCAAGAATATAAATCCTTGAGTCCTTTAATACCATCTGAAGCCAGGTTTTTTGCTCACACCGGGTGGAATGGTTGGCATTAATTGAGCTATGCCCCAAAAGGTAACCAATTTCATGCAGAGCCATAGACTCTAAGTTAAATGATCCAGGAACCACGTCGTTAGACCACCTCTCATCGGCATCAAAGTGAAGCCTCCCATCAGTTGGTGCAAAAGGATGGGCCAAGATTCCACCTGGGCCTTCGAACGGGTCACCATCTCCATGGTTTCCACTGTAAAAAGCGATCTTCAAATCAACATTTTTGTAGTTTTCAATCTAGAAAAATTTGAAACTTGATACAGAAGCCCATTTGCTAAAAGCCCTACCAATCGGACCAAGGGAGGCCTAATGAGTCCCTGGGAGAAAGGCATAAGTGAGTTTAGTCTTAGAACGTGGCCATCTGGGTTTACCTGGAAAGAAACTATANGAGTCCCTGGGAGAAAGGCATAAGTGAGTTTAGTCTTAGAACGTGGCCATCTGGGTTTACCTGGAAAGAAACTATAGTGGGAGATTATTTGGAACAAGTTTGAGCCATAATGGTGTTTCATTTTATTGCCTGATCTCATTCTAGTGGTACCATTGATGATATCCGGTATGCTACACCGAGGCATCATCATCATTGACACGGTGTTATTATCTAATTCTCCCATAACCTCGAGATTATAATTGAGCTGGTAGGTTTTGATGGAAGGCTCTAAGAGATCATCAAAAATATCACTTTTGACATAGGTTTGATTCAATTTAGAATGGGTTAAGCTTAGAAAACCAAAATTTTTGAGATAATTTTTGAGTTTATGGAGCTCATCTACCTTGTCATCATTACGAAAACCCTTCATTCGTTTGATAAACTCAAAGATTGAGGGTGTTTTTTCATTTGGCTCCGATAAATGTGCATGGGACTGGTGAAATAAAAGAATGAAGATAAGGTTTTGCATTGCAGAAGAAGAGAGAATTTGGGTGTCATGATGGGGTCAGAAGGAGAATTAATTGTTTAATAATGCATATGCTCCTATATTTTCATCGTTCTTATAATGTGGTGATGAGGAAATTTAGTATTGGTGTGAAAGTTAAAGCTTTCCAAAGAAAAAGAATGAAAAATGACAATTATTTTTTGATCCACACTTACAATTCTTTCTCTGTTTTAAGGGAAAAATCAATAAATACTTTNGAATGAAAAATGACAATTATTTTTTGATCCACACTTACAATTCTTTCTCTGTTTTGAGGGAAAAATCAATAAATATTTTTTAATGTGCTTGGATCAGCAAACTTAAACTTTCACTTGTTATATCCTTAATTATACGGGTTCCAAAAAAATATTCTTTATTATATAAAATAATGTGGTCCTTGAAATCTCATTAGTGTCTAGGACCACATTAANACTTGTTATATCCTTAATTATACGGGTTCCAAAAAAATATTCTTTATTATATAAAATAATGTGGTCCTTGAAATCTCATTAGTGTCTAGGACCACATTGACTCAATGTTTGAACTTTTGGGATGAAATTAATGAAATTAAAATTTTAAGTATTGAATTGTGATGAGTGGCAAACCTCAAAGACTATTTGTGAAATTTATGGAAATCATTTCTAGTAGTTTTGTGGGTAGATTATATCCACCTCCCTGGATGTTTGTCCAAATAATAACTAGATTCCTTCACCCTTCAATAATAACATTGAACACCCTGTCAGTAATGTCTCTTTCCTTTTTCTAATGAAAATACCAAAAAGAATATCATGCCTTTAATGAATAGATTCTCTATTGCAGTTAATATTTAAAAAAATTGTAACATAAAACACTCACCCACTCACTAAACCCCAATGATAATCAAACCCCCACCCCAATTTATCTCCTTGTTCTCTAAAAAAATGCATATATATGGAGGGTAAATGGGATCATCAGCAACAAGCTGTGTGAAATTGATCGCAATGACCTCTTCGAGTAGCCATTAAAGGATTTTCAAGCAATCAAAGGTTTATTGAACAAATTTTCAAGCAGTCAAGGGTATATCAAGCATTCCAAGATTGATCTGAGTAGTGTTGTTTGCTCTTGCAGGTAGAATTGGGCTCTGCATTCTACAATTTCTTTCGGCGAGAAATCACAAGGTTTGCCTTTTTACTGTTAAATTGGCTGTCAATCCCAAAATTCCAGAGACCCATTCCATAAACAACCAAAATATCATCCATAGATTCAACCAAATCATTCAAATCTACAAACTTAAACAACGGTGCAATATGAACTTGGAATTCTCCAAAACCAGTGAATTCCTCGCCATCTTCCCAGCGACAAGATCAAGGCCACAAGAAGATCAGTATTTGACCTTGTTTCTCCGTCGATACTTGATACCTCGTCAGCGTAGCCTCCACTAATAAGATCTTTCACCTCCTAGGATGCACTATTATGTCCCTAATCAAACACTAACCAGAAAAATCCTAATTGGACTGGGTTATTTGGTCATTGGTCGTGGGTCGTGGGTTTGGTTTGGCAATTTCTGGTGGAGTTGGGTTGTGGTGGTGAGTATTCCATTGGGTTTAGGGTGATTGGCTTGGTGCTTCTGGACCATGAAAGGGTATTAATTATTCAGAGAGAGAGATCCATGGCACTGGAAAGGGGCCTTTGTCATCGGGAGAGAAGGGGAGGAAGAGAGAATGAATAGTGTACTGCTTGAAAACATGTGTAAGTTATAGGGCTTTAAAGGGGGAGAAGCTTTTGAGAGAGATACGGGTGAAGCGGATCCTTTATGCTAGGTGGCATAAAGAGCTTCTTTCTCAGTGCATTTTGTCTGTGCTCTTTGTTTTCTTTGTTTTGTCTGTTGGTAGTACTCTTTGAATTTCTTTGTAGGCAAAGCTTTTAACGCCGACCGACCCCAGGAGCTGCTTCAGTCTTTAACTTTCTTTTCAAGTGATTGTGAGAAAAATTGACATGAGAAGGAAAGACCAAAATCAAATATCAACGGGTATTAATTATTGTCTTTTAATCATATAACTTCTGATTTTGTTAGTGCTTATACTATATTTTCAAACTATACAATATTATATGTAGGTTTTTAAAGTATCTATATAATAAGGGACAAGGGATTTCAAATTCTTAATTTGTCCTGAACTTTTCACATTTTAGATTGTTTCAAAAATTTAACTATTTCGATTAAACTAACTACCAAAAATAAATAAATTCCCACCCATAGCAAATTTCAGTTTTACTACCCAAAACTCGCACGTGTTTTCTCTTGGTAGTTGCAACTCTCACCCTAATCCCTTATTTCATACTTGACCCCCTCCCCCCTTTAGCCCCTCCCTTCTCAATTATTTGCTTCTCTACAACAACCCAGCCTCTCCTTCTGCTTTGTTATCCTCTCCTTTCTCCTTTCTCCTTTCTCCTTTCCCCTTTCTCCCTCCAGTCTCTTCTCTCTCATAGTCTCGACAACCGCTCAACAGCACATCCATAACACAATCAATAGCCAAGGTGCCATCGATGCCCTGCTATTAATAGTGTCTATGTCATATGTAACCCCCACCCCCTCGCTGTCTCCCCTATTCTCCTTTTATTCCCTCTCTCTTTCAAATCCCTATACCCCGCAACCACAGCCACCCATCCACGAGCACGGTCATCACCCAACCGGGCCCTTATTTTCATTGTAATTGATTTTGTTTTATTGGACTTCTGTTTTCGTAATTTTAGTAATGATTAATAAGCACAAAAAAATATGCTGGATATTGTTCAATTTGTGTTTTCTTTTTATTTCCCATTGTAGCCAATGGAATAGTTGATGAGGTGTTATCGAAGAACCCAAATCCATTCTCAAAGTCCAATGACTCATAACACATCCAATTCTTACTCATCACTTACCCCAAAAGTTGCAATCTTTCTCCATTTTAATCTTAATTTTTTGATTAAAAAATCTGTTTCATGACTTTCATTGAGATTAATTCTCTATCAATTTTTGTGAGTTTCTTGAATCACATGAATCATTGCAAGAAATCATCACACAGAATAAAAAAGANATTCTCTATCAATTTTTGTGAGTTTCTTGAATCACATGAATCATTGCAAGAAATCATCACACAGAATAAAAAAGACGAAAGGGCCATTGAGAAAAAGAGAAGGAGGACGAAGAGTTCGGTTCGAATGAGGACGTATATGAGCATGTATTTGTGTATATTTGTTTTATTTTTTTATTTTAAATTTTGTGATATGNCCTCTCTCTTTCAAATCCCTATACCCCGCAACCACAGCCACCCATCCACGAGCACAGTCATCACCCAACCGGGCCCTTATTTTCATTGTAATTGATTTTGTTTTATTGGATTTCTATTTTCGTAATTTTAGTAATGATTAATAAGCACAAAAAATATGCTGGATATTGTTCAATTTGTGTTTTCTTTTTATTTCCCATTGTAGGNTTTAGTAATGATTAATAAGCACAAAAAATATGCTGGATATTGTTCAATTTGTGTTTTCTTTTTATTTCCCATTGTAGGCCAATGGAATAGTTGATGAGGTGTTATCGAAGAACCCAAATCCATTCTCAAAGTCCAATGACTCATAACACATCCAATTCTTACTCATCACTTACCCCAAAAGTTGCAATCTTTCTCCATTTTAATCTTAATTTTTTGATTAAAAAATCTGTTTCATGACTTTCATTGAGATTAGTTCTCTATCAATTTTTGTGAGTTTCTTGAATCACATGAATCGTTGCAAGAAATCATCACCCAGAATAAAAAAGACGAAAGGGCCATTGAGAAAAAGAGAAGGAGGACGAAGAGTTCGGTTCGAATGAGGACGTATTTGAGCATGTATTTGTGTATATTTGTTTTATTTTTTTATTTTAAATTTTGTGATATGAATTGGGTATTGATTATTGTAGCAATAGATAAGAAGAATAGTGGTATTGTGAATGGTGTTAATTTGAGTGTTTGTTTTGCAATTTGATTGCTTTGATTGTTAGTGTGTCTAAAAGAAAATAGATTTTGGAATTCATGGACTTGATTAGTGTCTCTCTCTCTCTCTCTCTCTCTCTCTCTCTCATCCAAATTTAGCAAACATCCACCATATTCCCAATCCGCAGCCCCACCACTTACATCCACCGCTCGTGTATCTAGCGTGTTGGATGAAATTTTTTAAGGAACCGCAGTCATGTTACTCCACCATTAGCACTGGTAAACCTCTCTCTTTGCCGTTGTCTGCCAAACCACACCACCTATCAAACACCCCACGGCCACCAATCAAACCCTTCATCAAAACTATGGCTTTTCATATTATTTCTTCAGTTAGGTGCATATATATTTTTTTTTGAGTACTTTTTTTTGGGGTGCAGTGTTTTTTTGTTCTTGCTCAATGTGGAATCATAGAGGATCATTGGTTTTGTCACTAGATACGTTCCTTTCTTTACTCCACCCAATTCGTTTTTCCTTGGTTTTGCATGTTTTTTTTTTTTGGAATATTTGGGTTACATCACATTGTAAACCATCAAGACCAACAAAAAAATTAACCGGGTTGTTGATTGGGTTGTAACGGGTAGAATTAATTTGGAATTTTCACAATTTTAGTTTTGATTTTGTATTTTGAATTGGGTGGGTTTAAAGTGTGTTTTACAATCAAACTCTTACATTGAAAACAATAACTTCAAACTACACTTCTATATAAACAATGATAAATTGAAATATAAGTTAAAAACAAACCAATATGGTATTTTTTTTCATTAAAATTCTAGAAGTATATTAATAAAAGTTTAATAGAAGATATCTAGATACTTTTGAAAAATTCTCAAAATGTATGTCATATCTTTGCAAAATCCACTTTGTATAGATACTAATAATTATCCGTGTCCGAAA